AGAATCGGACAGCCAAGCCAGCCAAGCCGAGCTGCACCAAAACCACACCGAGCCAAGCCCAACAAGAACGCCGAGCCGCAAAAAACGCGCTGAGCTAGCGAGGCCAGGCCAGACCAGGCAAAGCCGAGTCAAAAACCGAGCCAAGCCAGCCCCCAAAGCAAGCCAAGGCGCACCAAAAACCGAGCCGCACCTAGGAAAATAACGAAGGCCCACCTAATTGAGGTGTTTCGATCCGTCCGTCTTCCAAAGCAATGCACCCTAGACCCTGTGCCTTAAACTTAAACCCTTCATCGAGCCACAAAGCCATACACCCTGAAACCGAAAACCAAATCCTATACCCTGCCAAACGCCCCACCCCAAAACCCTGGAAAAAAAAAACTCACCCTTCAACCCCAAATCCTGAGCCTCTCACATCCCAGAACCCTCTTTCTGCCACCCAGATGGCTCGCAAACTCGTAGAGGATCTCGTAGACTGTGTCGCTGTAGGCGCAGTAGACAGACCCGTTGAAGTTCCTTTTCGGGTATTTAATGTAGGGATCAGACTCATGAATCACATACTACCCTCTACCTCTTCTATAACGTACTGTATGCCTGAAAGACCCCGTAGTCACCGGAATGTGTGCGTAAGGTGAAGAGTTGCTGGGAGCTAGAGGACCAGAGACGAGCTGTGCAGGATGCTTTGTCGGGGGCTGCAGGCTAGAGATTGGGGAGATAATAGAAACGATGCCCCGACTGTCAAGCAAGGAGCCATGCCGTGGTGACATCACCTGACGGGAGAGGATCGATGCCAACCATATCCAGCACCTCGGATTGAGGCGCAATGCAGGGCCAAGCAAGAGCAGTTCAAAGCTGGGCCTTAGACCCTGCAACCATGTTTCCAAGTTTGTACTTGTAACTGCGCAACTCCGCAATACTTCAACTTAAACTATAAACCCTGAGCCGCACGCCTGAATCCCGGAGTGTTGGCCCTCATGCCCAATTCAAGAATTAGGTTCTCGGACCTTCACTTCGTGAGCCATGTGACAACAACGAGTCGAGCATCCAGGATTCAGGGAGGCTTGGGTTCTCAACTCACGGTTTAGGCAATGGGGTTCGTTAGAGTTGCAGCACAAGGGACCTCAATGATGTCCCATTCCCCTCACGCTTCGTCTGCTGTTGTTGGTGTAGGTAGGTTCAAAGATGTCCTTACGTGATTGAGGACTCTTACTTGGGATCCCTGCACCTACCTTCATCTCACCTTTTGAGCCCTCCGAGTGCATCCTCAAGCCGGAACCATGGGTCGGATAAAGGCGGTTGTTAACGGGCTTGCAAAGGCATGGATAAAGTCAGGATCGGCATGGTTGTTATGTTCAGGGACTCAAAAAAAACACGGAGCCGTTTGAGGTTGCCCCTCCTTAAACCCTAAACACCCTGAGCGCTAACTGCCCATCTGAACCCTCTTGTGGCAAAGCATCTCATCAGCTGCGTCACTGGGGAGTTTGGGTGTTTAGGGTTCCAGGGTTGCTGAGGTTCGGGGGATTTTGGGGGTGGCGGGTTGAGGACTTAGACATGCATGATTTCGAGTTTAGGTTTGTGGGCTACGGTTCTGTTCTGGCCGACTAGGCACATAGCGTGCACTTCTACTTGAGCCGCTGGTGTCAGTCACAGATTGGAAGATAACCTGTTGCGATGCTCATCGGCGGGAGCTTGCGAGGTGGACTATGACTAGGGTCGATCCAGGATTAGTGTGATAAATCGTGCCTCTTGCGTGCACCAAGCAGGTTCACACCCGACGCAACTCCAAAACCGGGCTCCAAAAGATAATGCGGCCTGTCGCGCCGCATGAGCCTTCACTGGAAAGCCCTCGACTCACGCCTCCAAACCCTAGATAATCACGTTCGATTGCTGAAACCAAAGGAGGCCGAACAATTCTGTATCCCCAACCCTGAATCTCCCTGAGTTGGCTGAAGCCGACGGGACCTGTAAGCACGATCTGGGCACAACATGCCAACATGTACCATACATCGTGTGGTTTATGGTATTCCCTTTCAACCCCTCGCAAGAGTCAAGGCACATCACTTCGGGCGTTCAAGGCTCGCTGGCTTTGTGCTTGGGAAACCCCCGGGCCCACGGCTAACTTCGGAGTCCCATCCCAGATCCTAGGAATGGGCTAAGTTCGCACACCGCTTTAAAGCGGAGTATGAAAGAGGAACCCACAAAAACACGGCCAGCCAGAGTCGCCGTAAGCCCATGTCCGGATCTGGAAAGCTCCATGGAGGCACCATCAAGTCAAGAGTGAACCCATAGGTCCCTAATGGCGGCTGGTAGTCTCAGTCTAGGGATCCGACAGAGCTTAAACTCTGAAGCCCTAACTCCGGAATGGGCCTGGCTACCAACGCAGCCAATCGCCTGGGCAATTTGGGGCTTTTTAGTGTTTGGAGTTTAGGGGTTTTGGATTTCTATAGGGTTTAGGGCTTGGCGTTCAATTTTAAAGCTTTTACCGGACAATCCCTTCGGGAGCAAAAGCTTACCATTGGGTGGGTGACCGGATCCAGGGTGGGTGCCACCGTAGAGGCGGGCTGTCATACTGGTTCGACTTGCGCCATCGAGGTCGTGCGCACAAGCACCGGCCACTATCGGTAAGCAGGGTTTATGACTTTGTGGAGCGCATCGAGTTGGGAATGATTGGGGCTTGGGGCTTCGCTTAGGGCTTACAGACCATTAACATCTAGACCACTGATTCTGAAGTCTCTGCTATTTCAATGGACTCCGTTAAGTTACGGGTATCATCCTACGACAAAATTTGGAAACGACAAGAAGGGCCACGGTGCAGGGCCCAGGTAAGCATCAGGTTCCCCGGTTTTAGGTGTTCAGGCTCTTATGGCTCATGCCTCATGACTCAGAGATCAAGACTGTCACGCTCGTGAGTTTGTAACCAGGGCCCACAAGAGTAGTCCAAGTTTTGGGGTCTAGGTGTCGGCAGTGCACACCTTGCGACGGATGTAGGGGCGCGACTGCAAAAGATTTCACGTCTAACCTTAACTCTAAAGTACCAGTACCAAGAAGTTTTGCAGCCACTGCCCCCGGCCCTCAGCTCCAAGCTGAGTGACCTTTAAGGGCTTTTGGCCTGTCGAGTTCGAACAAAAGGTCGAAAGTTTGAGGAATAGGTTTGGACGGGGAGAAGGCGAATTGCCTTCTGCACCGACCTTGTCGTCGTGATACTTTCGTCGGCGCCTATTCCACTGCAAACCCAAACAGGGTAAAACCTGAACCCTAAACACCTAAACCCTGAACCCTAAACCCTGCTAAACGGTGAACCCTAAAGCCCAATCCTAGAATTTGGAACTCCCAAGCCGCAAGTTCCCAAATCCTGAGCCCCAACCCCCGCACAGCTTGGCCCGAAGATCCTTACAAGCAAAAGCCCCGAGGAAAAGCTAGACTGCGACAGAAAAGTAAGCTTGCGAACCTCAAGCCCGGCAAACCCCAAACGCTGGGCTACGAGAAGCAAAGGTCTTATTAGCATCACCAGAATTCGCCCGATGTTCCTCATGAGCCCTACATACACTCACCGGAATCCCGTATATTCACCATACTTCATGTGGGATGATTGCACAAACCTCGCTCTTCTGTGCAGCACCCGAAATAGGGCGTGCGTTTTTCGTGCTAACGGTTGACGTGCTCAGGTGTTGGGAATTGATGGAAGGCCGAGTTTCGGGGACTGGGGCTGTGGTGACTGCAGCAGAACGGTTGAGTATCACTGAGAGCCATGTTGACGAGTACCCATAACAAGCTTATAACTGCTCTTTCCCCTTCTGGCACTGTGGTTGTCGGGTTTAAGCTCAGACCTCGGGATGATACCGGGTTCAGGTACACATTGCTGGTTCTTCGGGGAGAAGGATTTATGAGATGTCGGTGATGTCGGGTTTACGGAGTGGACAAGATTTACGGGTTTACGACCGCAGGACGTCAGCGCGCTGGGCCCCAAACCTAAACCCGACAGCTCAGACCAAAGCCAAGACACCCAGTATTGCAGTCCCTCCGTGGAAAAGCTGAACCTTCAGGGTGCCCCCAAGCTCATCGTCAGCATCATCGAGCTGCCCCAAATCCTGAACCCTATAAATCTCAAACCCGAAATCCTGCATCCTAAATCCAAAAAGGTATAACCCATGCCCTACACTTAGACATCCTACATCCTGTACCCTCAAACGATGAAAGATAATTCAACCCAAAGACCTATGCCTATGCCCTCAAAGACTAAGACTCGAGCCCCTGGCGCAGCCCTGCTCTGAAAAAACCCTGGTTACATGCTGAACGGTAGAGAATCCGAACCTTCGAACCGAAATCCAAAACAGCGCAGGCGTCCTAGAGTTACTGCAATGTTCGTTTGGATCTGGGCCCGAATGGCTTCACACTTTGTTGTTGTTGGGATAAAGCTGCACGCCCGCAGTACCTTGAGAGTCCAGGGTGTTGGGTTATGAGAGCATGGCATTACAAGGCCTTGGTTTGAGACTTGCAGTTTTGAGCCCTATCCACAGCCATCGACCCCGAAGAATCTATAGCCGAAGCCTTCTCGGCAGGTAAAATAGCGCAGCTTCATGCCCTCTAAGACCCACAAAGTTGCGGTGTGCTCTATACAGGGGCCTTAATACTGCTAAGAGGTCTTTGGAGGCTTTCAGAACTGGACGTTGAAGCTTGTGCACTGTACCTTTGAACACTGTCCAGACCCACTTGACCAGCAAGCTTGGGTCTCACACAGCTTGCTGTGCCTCAGGTTTTGCTTTTGAGGGTTTTGGAGTTATACTTGGAGGAACGGGAGACCAAGAGGCGGATAGCTCTGACCCTTTGTATAACACTGAATTTCGGGTACAAAACATGCCTAGAGTCCGAAACCCTGCAACTCCAACACCGCCCTACACCCTGAAACCCTAGAACCAGAAGGCTTTAAGGAGAACCAACACCCTCCGAGCCCCGAAAACTCCAAAGCCCCAAAATCCTCCAAGAAGCCCCCTCCCTCCACCCACCTTTCAATGGCCATGTTCTCGGAGAAGAAGTTCGCGTTGGAGAGCCGATTGGAAGCTGGAAAATGCTGGGAAGCTTCTGAAGATTTCGCGGGTTCAGGCCAGGAGCTACTAGTGAGGATGAGGACTAGGCCTAGGCTTCAGGGCTCAAGGGGTTTCGAGGCGTGGGGTTTGAGTTTTCAGTTTTTCAGGGTTTAGAATGAGGTCTCAGGCTCGATGTTGAAGGGCTTAGGGCTTAAGGTCCAAAGCTTCAAGCTGATCGGAAACGTGCACCGCGGGATGACAAAAGGAAGGGCTTTTTGGAGTTTAGGGTTTAGGGTTTGGGGTTTAGGGAGTCTTCTGAATTTGGAGCGGGATTTGGGGCCCAGACCTCAAACAACCGAACCAAACCCTAAACCCTAAACTGCAAACCCAAAGCATTCAGACCCAAACCAAAACCTGAGGGCCCCCCCCCAACAAATTACGTAGATCCCTTGATGAAAAGAGCTGCAAAAAGGCAATGATCCGACTCTTCACCCTCAGACTCTTCGGGAAAGCGGGGAAAAGGGTGCTTGGGGGGTTTGAGAGGTTACACAAAAAGACGGTGATCTCCAAATAAGCCCAAGAACTCCAAAGCTCCCAACTCCGGAGCTGCGAGGACCGAAAAGGGCTTTCGGGGCTTTAGGATTTACAGACACATCGCGCCTTGAGGCCTACCCGAAACCCTAAGCGCAGAATCTGAGGAGCAGTGCGCCGAGGTTTGGGGGGGGGGGGGTCGTTGGGCAAACGCCTTTGGAGAAATGAGAAGATGAAGGTTTAGGTAGGGTTTCGAGTTTGAGGCATCTCAGAAACTGATCGACGGAGTTTGTAAGGGGCTTTTCAACGCTTTAGGGCTAGCCAAGCTTGAAGATGGAAGAGAAACTTAGGTCAGGTGGGCTTGAAACTCAAGACGCTTCTCACGAGGATTGATGAGCAAAGCAGTCTTGCGTCGCACCGCGACTTCGATACTCGCAGTGATTCCAAGAGGGCAAAACACGACGATGACCCATGGGTTTCGGAGAAACTACATGCAACCCCCATGTATCCTAAACCCTTAACCAGGACCGTCCAGCTTGCGAAGATCCTACAGCCTTTGGCCCAAAGCAGCCCCGGAACCCTGACCTCCTAAGCAAGATCACAACTTCCCAAATCACTAAAATATGGGAGGCTCAAGGCACGGATAAAGGGAAGTTGAGGATCAGGACGTGAAACCTGGGATTCTGGGAGCGCAGAATCCTCATAAGGGGTTTCTGGGTCTTCCTTGTTTCCAGGGCTTGCAGGGGCTCCTACTGTAGAATAGCCGCTTGCAGTTTTGGATGTTGGCGTGGTCGAGCTTGGTGCTCGGGCTGCCGATTTCGAGTGGCCGGATGTCTTCTGGGCTGGTGCTCCCATGGTGATGCTAAGCGGCTGTCGCTGCTGCCCCAGACACTCGACCCTGGACATATATCACGCTCCCAGATGTACTCAAATAGTTTTCTTATCGCCCAGTGGCGATTTATTATACAGTGGCGATATATTATACCAAGAATACAAGGGAGCCTGGAATGATGGCCTTTCGCCCCCTCAGAGGAAGGAATTTCAAGGCAATGTTGCGAGTGTATGAAGATTCTTATGATTCTGTGCCTGTGTCATACCGAAAGCCCAGTGCTCACCACTACAGCAAACAGCAGGCCCGCCCTTTGGGGCCTCGTGGTTTAGGATGGCTTTGGGGCTTGGGGTTCTGGGTCCTAGGGTCCAGGGGTTCAAAAAGTTTACGGTTCAGGGGTTTAGGCTGTTTGATGGTTGAGGAGTCTGACGTTCTTGTTTAAGCCCTTTTATGTTTAAGCCCGTTTATGTTTAAGCCCTTTTACGTCTGCCGGTACGACATCAGCAATCTATTCCCGGGAGCCCCTCCGTGGAGCCTCTTGTACTGCCATACTCGGATTGTTGTATATTTTACCGCAGTTAGATTAAGGAACCCTAAGGAAAGACATTTGGTACTTATATTAATGCCATATTACATTATATCATATTGTATGATCATATCGCATTATATAATGGCATATTGTATCATTTTATGTTTCTATATGGCGGCCACCAAACAAGCAAGTAGCCTGGCAGCCCAGCACTCAGATTCTATCTATAGGCTTTACAGTGAAGGAGCAGGGTGCAGGGTTTATGTTTTGGGTTTGGGGTTAACGGGATTTTGATGCTAGCGTTGAGGACTCTGGGAGGTTGAAGCTTATTGCCTTTCAGTCCCAGCAGCGAAGCCAGGAAGTGCCGTGATGTTGCCACCTTGGAGCCGTACCGATACTTCCCAACACTTGTACTGGTACGAAGTATAGATGCTGGTGATGAGGAATGCCAATATCAATACCAATTACTGGTACTAGCAACTAACACTGGCCCTGGCAATAAGAACTCGCACATTAGTACGAATACTAAACACGAACACCTAATTAGTCATGGCACAACCAATTACCATTGCTGGTGCTAGTACTAAATTCTAGCACTATGTAATGCTAGAACTACGTAGTACTAGCAAGAGGGGGTGGCAATTACAAATGACACTGAAGCATCAACCCGGCATAGAACCTGACCTAACATTTAACCTACGAACACCCCAACAACAAACCCTAAACTCTGAATTCCTAAACACTACAACCTAAATCCTAAACCCCTAGACCGTTTTAAAGTTGAAAATCACTAGTCTGCAGGGATGCTCTCAGCTGAAGACTCCAAGCGACAGTAGCGGCCTTGCTAAATCGGTTCGGGACTTGGGCTTCTATAGAAAATCACGACTCGACGATTCGGATTAAACCCCCGTGCCCGTGCTACAGTAGAACCTGCACAGAACCTCTGCACAGGATCCCGCCAAAAGCCTTGCTTTAGATTCTTACGGACCCTACAAGAAAGTAAGTACTATCTACTAACCTAAGATTGGCTTCAGAATTAGTTTAGGTATTTTTTTGTTTTTTTTCCGGTTATTTTTTTGTTTTTTTTTATCTGTTTCACGCAAGCAGTACCTAATTTGGAAGCTCCACACCC